GAAAAGAAGAGGAAATGAGCAGTAAATTAATCCAGCATCCCTTATTGATGCTCACTCTAAAACTTGCCACAGAACCTGCCCTCAGCAGCGTGGGCCATTCTACTTGGAAAGCTGCTCTGGGAAAATATTTTTGAATATTTTGCCTTCGTCCTCTTGACCTCTTTTTAACAGAGCAGCTCATCTGTAAGTAAGACAGTCTGTACTTCACGGCTAGTCTTCATACTGTTAAGTTGCTGAAGGATTTCTATGCTGAGGAGATGCCAGCTTTTGAAGTTGCATCCTGGTCCTCTTGTCTAAAACGGCCTGATTTCCTCCTTAGGAATATCCTTAAGGGAGGCAGCCCAGAAGCCCAAAACCCTTCTGAGATACATCCCAATTGCATCTATGAAGAGAGCATGCTGACTAAAGGCCTAGTTCTGCTCTGTGATTAGCTGTAAATATTTGCCCTCTCCCCAACATTTTCCTGAAAAAGAGCCACTAAGGCCAGAATTCCACCTGGTTTTGAGTTTTGGATTTAATCTTTGCTTACATGAGCAAATCAAGAAATCAGGACAATCTCATGAGAGAAGACAGGAAGCCACTAGCCGTTCTTTATCACTGATAATCTTAGACAGTTTGCAAAGGAACATAATAAAGCCACTTCTGTACCTCTAATGTGTAGGAGACAGTTATGCGAGTATAAGGCAGGAAATTTTCTAGTCTGTATATTATAAATGAAGACTTAATCAAAGAATTAAATGCTAGACGGAATCCTCTTAAGATCCCCATATTTGGTAAGAGTATACTCTCAGGTTTCCTATTCCCTCCTCCAAACTTACCTCTCTTTAAATGGTCCTTGGAAGACTGTTGCACATTCCCTGTTCAGCTAGATGCTAACCTTGACCTCTCCCTTCCTCCTTTCTTTGTATCTATCTCCAATTTACCTATATCCACTAACACTTGCTCATCTACAGTATCTGTGGGTAGAACTCATCAATCTCTCTCTCTCTCAATTGCAGACCTCCCACCTTGCTGTCCAGCCCTAAACATCAGCACGTCTCCTTGATACCTGCTCAAGAACATCTGCCCACTTGCTTTTGTTCAATAAGGGAAGGTAAAGGCTTCACTCGTCATGCAAGACCATCCTGCTGCCTCTTTTACACATTTGAAAACATGACCAGCTTTCCTGTTATTCCAACCTATAAAGAACAAGCAAGCGCTTTATATTACTTGCATGGCCACTGTTCTTGAAAACTGTAAATTTAATTTTTATCTTCTAAGAAGGCCATTTTAGACTATATGTTGTTTCAGTGAACCTTCAGCTCACAGCAATGCATGATTCATTAATGGTTCATCTCCATATGTAAAATTCTACGACAATTAAAGAGGAATTGCTGTTTCCTCAGAAAGGCTTTTCCAGCTAAAAATAAAATAAAAGCAAGGCAGTGACTGGCATTATTTATATCAACAATCCTACTGGAACGATAATGCAGCAGCTTTCACATGCAAATATACATACATTTAAATGATTTAGGAAGGATTAAAATAAGGAGCTTAATACACTTCTTTGCCTTTGCTCAATCTTTTCATTTGCTTAAGAATYTTATCAAGGATGCCTCTCAAAGCAATTCTTTTGGACTATAAAGAAACATCAGCACACTTCACTGAAAAGACTCCTGGCTGTTAGAAAAGAGATGCTACATAGTAAAGAAATAACAAATGGATATAAAGATAGGTATATAGTTGGTGAAATAGCAACGAAGTGTTTCCTCCAATCAGAATTCAACAATAAACTTGCTCAATCTAAAGAATTAATGAACAGAATTATCTCCATGAGACTTGCCTTGGGCAGATTCACCTCAAAATAATTTGAATTTACTGTGACTACCTCTGTTAGTAGCCTTAAAATAAAACACCAGCATAATGGGCAAACTGAAGTCTTTTTTTTTGCCAACTGGCTCAGTTACAATAATTTCACCTTTCTAGACTTAAAACATAAATAAGGAAAGGGGCAGGTATAGACATTGACACTTGCATTTTCTGTGCGGTGCCTATTCTCTGTAAGGATACTTGAAAAATTTAGTTTACATTTATTTTTCGTAAGTATGTTTTCTCTCTATTGCAAGTTCACGCCTCTTASGATCTCTACTATGAAGCTACATAAAAACAAGTAGTGAATCTGAGTTCAGGTATCAATATTTCATTTTTCAAAATACACTGCAACATGCTACCTTTTGGAGATTGGTATACTGTGATGTATCACTACAGCAGCACCACAATGTATTTCTCAAAAGAGCATACACACACCTGAACTTTTGTCTCCTTTCCTGTACATGTTGAATTCTAATTTTTCAGTTATCTCAACATTGCCAATAATCATGCAACGCATTTCAACTATTTCCTTTAAATTTCTGTTTCTTACATTCATATTATCGGTGAATAAGACCGAATTTTAAAGCGAAAAACTCATTCACATGGCTACAAAGTATAACTTGATGGGTGAACATCAAAGCTACAATAGAGATGGCAGATAAAACAGATGCTAGTTCAAAAGAAGGCTCATCACTTTAAGCTAATAATGAGTTTTAACACTTCAGATGGGCAGCAGCATAATCCAGCATGTGATTTTTAGCTGTACTTGTCARGTATTAAGAAATTAATGAGC